ATATACTTTTATATGAACACTGAATTATACAAAAAACACTTTTCTTCACTCAGTTTGTATTCCACATATTCGTTGTGGAATTAAGTCAGATATCAATCACATGATTTCTACACAGTATACTAAATGAAAGGTAAAAATTTCACTTACACAAACTCTGGATAATTAATGTTTGAAAATGTCCAGATTACTGAATTAAGTGAACCTAAAGTGCTGAATATTAGGTTTATTCAATCATATATGTATTTCGAATCAAGGCGAAATGATGTTACTTGAGTAATCACTGAGTAATATGAAGAAAAAAATGTTCAATTAATTTTTTTATTCCGATTTACGTACAAAAAACAAGTGATGTTCAATATAGAAGTGTTGTGATATATTTCACGAAAATGTATCACCAATAATACTGAAGACATAGCATTCAAGCAAAAAATCAACAATTGAATATCTTTGAAAATTAAATTTTACTGAAAGTAACACTATTTCAATTGTTGAAATTGAATGAATTCAATATTTTTGTAGATCCGCGAATTGAACAAATACGAATAATAATAATTTCATTCTACATAAATTGATGGATGTAGCCGTCATTACGTAGTTAGGATATCATCATGCAAAATGAGAAATGAAACTTCCTATGTTTCTATACCACCGTTACTGCAATGTTGTCCTGCAAAGACATTTTAAAACTGATAAAATAAACTGAAGTAATTAACACTGTCAACTTTTATATATCTATGTTCCACTACAGGTAATAACAGACGGTTTTTAATGACTTTAATACCAGAATTTTGTTTTAGTGTGACAACGTGGGTACGCTTATCTGAAAACTGGCGAGTAGACCAGGTCGATTTGATCATTTAGTAGGTTACATGCGAAATGTTTATACTCATGAATTTTCTAATTGAGTTTTCATCCCTTGCCTGCGTAGTGCGAAATTTCAGTATCGTTGAGATTAGGGAATTTGTGGTTGCATTCCAAAAAATGGTTTGGAAACGTAGAATGATTTTCAACTAGCCTGAGGGACCTTCCATGTTCAGCACACCGTTATGGAAAATTTCTGACACATTGTCCCACATAAACCCTATTACNTGGCTTGCCTCATGCACAAGAAATACCAAGCTATAATTACTTCTGAGTCAACCTATAACACTCGCTCCTCTCACTTGATCTCGCTTCCAATTCCCTCCTCAACCTTAACTCGCAACTCTCTAATTTTTGAGGGCAAGAAAATTTTCAATCACCTTCCCCTAACCTTGCGTGTCATCAAAAGCGAAGTCAAGTTCAGAAAATCTGTAAAAACGCTCATAGTTGGGAGGGCCTACTATACCCTGGAAGAATACTTTCAGGATTCTTTTTGCTGAGATCTCCATCTTTGGCGGCGATCATATAACGTATGCTTAATTCTTTATATATTTAGAGGTACTCCTTGTAATTTCATGTACAAAATGTTTGTTTTTCCGGCATGTTACTTTATTCATTTAATTGGCACATCGTAGTTTTGTTGTTCAATGTTATTTGGCTTAGTGGTGTAAATCTTGTTGCTTTTGTATATGTAATTATGTCCGCTTATTGTAAGTATGAATTTATGTGTATTTATGATCTCCTTGCTAACTGTATATTTGTGATGTTATCATGGTGACTGTATTCTTTGTCATGAGAATTGTTATTCTTGGACAATGAAGTATATTTTGATTTGATTTGATTTGATTTGATTTCTGATTGTTTGATCTGGGGGTACATTTATTTGTAAGTAAATTTGAGGCTTTGTTCTCTGAGTAACTTCTGGATTGTGTCTGTGTTGAAACCATCATCATATCCTATCTGTATGACAATTTAAATTTCCACATCTAGATTGTTAGCAGACAAAGGTAACAAGATTGCTGAAACATTGAATCGTAGGCTGCTGATTTATGACTGTGGGGATAGAAAGAATCACTTGGGACTGTAATGTCTGTGAAGCTCAGTTTTTTCACGTATAGTACCTCTGCAGTGATGGCAGATACAAAATACAAGTGGTATACAAACATATGAAGTTTAATTTTTCATTTTTCATATTCCATGGATCATCATCTATCCTTCATTTTTTATTTTCGATTTTGAATACTGATTTTTCAATTGAATTTCGTCATGAACGGGTTCTCGCATACAAGTAATCTGCTCAACAATCAGAAAATAAACTTACATTATGTCACCCTCCTCCAATTTCAGATCACAACTTGGGTTGATGATCACATATGATAAACTATTTCGTTTTTCACTAACATCATTATAATCGATGGTTGGCAAGTTCAAACTCTCCATTCTCGATCTCACCAGATTTGCAATTTCTGCTCGCTCAATTTGCTGATTGTGATTATCTTTGGCCTCGTCATTCCCATTTGTTGAGTACTGGAATAAAAAAAGGGGAAAGATTAGTGAATATTATTGTTTCATAGCCATAAAGTTGAAAATAGTCTAGCAATCCTAGGACACAAAAAACTAATGACCCAGTTCAGGTTTGTAATGAGAAATCACTCTTTCTTTTTCTTTTCATATATATTTTGAACTATCTGGCCATGAATTATTTCAAAATCCTACATTCAATGATATAAATGATAATCCCAAAAAAAAGCAAGTGGTCTAAAAAGTCATACCAGATACAAGAAGAGTTAGGAAGATTGAAAAGCCTCAAAATTAGAGATTACTGTCGTATGTATCGAAAACAAAGATTTCATAAATATATATTTTGACTAACATCCACTTCGCTGAGTGGTATTTATATCTCCCATGTTTCATCACATACTACATATAAGAAAGTCACTCGTATTGAAATCAAACGAGTGGAGTGAATTTGCGAAGCACATTTCAAAGAAGAGTCAGACCAACGTCGCAATTAGTTTATCAGACTCCTGATAATTTTGAAGACCATTTCGAAAAGAGAAATAGAAAATCACTTACCATTGAGTTTCGTCTGTTGGTAGTACATCCCAGACAATTGGTCCCCTCTTTCGGTCGATAAGTAACACCTACTCTATCCGCTCCAATATCCTCGTCAATCTAGCGGAAAATGCCTCAAACTAAGTACGTGCAACTACTTTTTCAGTCTGAACATTTTCAAAGTCCATATGAGAATTGAAAGTCATAGTGAAGATAAATAACATGTGGTACAGTGACTTTGAGTGTTCATTATTTTCATAAAATTCTCAAGGAATAGAAAATGACAGGACCTGCATTAGCAAGACAGTCATTGGTTTTCTAATCGATCAATAATAAGAAAGAATGAGCAAGGATTGTATTTTGTTAATATTACCCTTTGGTATAACTAAATTCTTGTTCACAAATGCAAACATATAACTTTTGTAGTTTGTTTGGTTCCGTTAGAATAGATAATTTTTTTTGGCGAAAATCGTATGAAAAAGGAGAAAATACAAGATTTGCTGAAATGATCTATCAATCATTAATGAGAATGAAAAATTTTTTTGTTCACCAGAAAAATCCAATTGATTTAAAGTTGAGACGAGTAGGAGATGACATATCCATATGAATTTTTTTCTGAAAATGGCCACGGAAAAACACCTGAGATAAGTGGTATGTTATCAAAAAAGCACTGTATAATGTGATCAAACAACGATACTGCATGTCGGCACAGATCATCGGCGCTATAACGGATTCTGTAGAACGGGATGATAAGAAAACAGACTGGAAGATTGGTATGAAAGAGTACCAATTAAATATGAAAAATGTACTGTATTTCTAGTATGGTATCTCAAATTCACCCCAACGAAATTAATTTTTTCATTTCAATTCGAAATGTTCAAATACTAAATAACATACAATTCCAAATATACAGTGTTCGATATTTCCAAAACCAAAGGTCGTTTTACAAAAACCTGAAACACGTCGATTTTCAATTTTATTATTCTACATTTTGAAATGAAATTTCATTATACAGGGTGATCCATATTGTTGTGATGACGTCATCGGTAATTTTTTAAATGTAACACCCTGTATTTGGTGTCAGTTTTAGATAATCCGTAACGAGCTGATTCCGAAAAGGTATGATTCTTGGGGTATAACGGACAGAATTTGAAAGATGTGCGCTTAGAAAATAAATTTTATTGATATCTAATAAAAGTAGAAATTANTCAATATGGATCACCCTGTATAATAAGATTTTGTTGTAAAATGTAGAACATTAAAATTGAAAATCGATGTGTTTCAGGTTTTTGTAAAACGACCTTTGGTTTTGGAAATATCGAATCCATTCCATACTTTGCGGACACACTGTGTAATTTAGTTCTTCTGTGCGGAAAATTCTATTCTATCAGTTCCTCGACCGTATTGCAATTTTATGAACAATTGACTTAGGAATTATTATAGAAATGAATCGTTGATTGAAACTTCATTTCTGAATTTATCTAAGTGATACACAGTTTTGTTCTGCACAAAGTCGTTAAAGGACCACATAGATTTTTTATTTTATAATCAACAGAGCAAACTGTCGATTACATGTGATCGATAGTTCAAACTGTCAAAAAAAAAGCTAATTGATTCTGTTTGAATCTGTTCAAATCTGTTTTTCCGTTAATCAGCTGTCGCCCCCATACGAACGACAACTCTCAGAAGTTGAGAAACTTTTGCGGGCTAAGGACTATCGAGGTCTTACCTTTCAATGTGTGATACCTAACACGATTGCACAATTATTCCAGCTTCAACCAGATAAATTCTCTCGAGAAAAATATCTGGTCGAGGCGGGAATCGAACTCACGGTCTTCCGAACGTGAGTCGGGCGCACTACCACCACAGCCAATTCCACAACATTGATATACTTGACAGTTATGGTTGATCGACAGTTTAAACTATCTAGCATCTATAATCGATTGTTCAGACTGTCGATCGTGACCAACTGAACTGAATTGTAGAATACAGCTGATTAAAAATATTCGACAAATAGGGCTTACCAACAGTTTGAACTATAGAATAATTATAATCCAAAGCTTAAACTGTCGATCATCTATAATTGATGTTTCATACTGTGAAGGACAGTTTCAACTTTCGAATATAGCTGAACAATTATATATAATTAACAGTTCAAACTGTTATAATCGTCGGGTTGAACTGTCGATTATGAAAAAAGTTGTGTATGACTCTTCAGCGCATAACGAAATGGTCATGATAATATTGATTTTGCTCTCATATGTCTTGATAAGTATTTGAGGTCAACTTGATTTTCAAAAATATACCATGAATTTTATGAAAATAGTTTTCACAGCCATCTTTTTTCAATTGGGTAATACTGAATATAATCAATTTTATTTCCGTGAAATGCCAAATTTCACCTTGAATGAAGGAGATGGATTCGTGCATATACAGGGTGTAACTGAATGAGTGTAAAACATTTAGGGAGGTGATTCTTCATCGAAAAAAAGATAGGACCTTTCATATAATGAAACTTCATTGGAGCATCCCTTGTTAAGATACAGCCCCTTAAAGGGGGTACATATAATTTGTATAACAATTTTTTTCACAAGCACTGAAAATGTTACAATACTGAAATCAACCTGACGTTTTGTACTACGAAAAAGACACTTAGCCAGTAATTTATTTAGTTTACCCCATGGTTGTAAAGGGTGGAAAACGCAACCCCTAAAATTTATTTCCAATGTACTTTTTGTCTTATCATTTGTTTACCATTCAAAAATTCATTTCCGATAGCCTAATTCATTCTAAACAAAGAATGTGTCTTGGGTTTTTTGCCCAAAATAAATCAGATCGCAGCAACAAATTATTTTACGAACAACTACAGAGATACATCGTCATAAATGCGAACTGGATTTACTGTTTTTTTGTAGTTAGTACCTGCATTGAACGATTGAAGGGTAATAAACAAAACTAATCAATTAATAACCCTGATTACCCTGCACGCATCGATGATGCGGTTTCTTAAGGCCTCTACATCGCGAACAGGAGTACGATAAATCAAATGCTGTAAATGGCCCAAAATAGAGAAATCGAGGGGATTGAGATCCGGGGATCGAGCGGGCCAGTTCTGTGGTCCTCCTCGACCTATCCACCGATTGGCATATGTTCAGTTAAATGCTGACGTGCTACTTGACTAAAATGGGTGGGATCCCCATCATGCATAAAAAACATGTCCCTTCTGACGCCCAAAATAATTTTCTCCAGCAGTACTGGATGCACTTCTCTTAAAAATTGAACGTATGCCTCACCATTTAATCTAGTAGGTAGAAAATGAGCCCCAATTGAATCATCCCCAATAACTCCGAGCCACACGTTAAGAGAAAACTGTTCTTGATGGTTAGTTTCGACAATAGCGTGAGGGTTTTCATCAGCCCATATATGGTAATTATGAAAAATAACAATCTTGTCCCGAGAAAAACTACATTCGTCTGTGAATTCTATCGTCTTCAGAAAGTCACAATTTCTTCTAATCATTTCCAGCATCCAATTGCGAAATTCAAGACGGTTCGGAAAGTCTCGCGATAACAGTGTCTGTACTCGTTGCAGATGGTAAGGGTAAGGGTAAGGGTAAGTTGTTCTCTTAAAATTCGAAATACCGTCATATGATCAACATTCAGCTGGAAAGCAATCTTTCTAGTACTGGTGTTGGATTGTTCTTCAATCAAATTAAGTACTGCTTCTTCAAGCTGTGGTGTTCGTACTTCTCAATGGTGACCACAATCCTGCGTTCTTTTGTCGAATAAATCATATCCTCGTAATCGTTGATGAAGTCGAGCATATATTCTAGGTGAAGGATGCTGCCGTTGAGGATACATTTCAGCATATCTTCTAGAAACTTCTAACCCATTCCCTTGCGACAGACCGTAAACGTAATGCATATCAGCCATTTCCTCATTTGTGTATGCCATTTCAATAACAAGTGAATTATTAAAGAAACAAATTAGGAACAGAACAACAACACACAATCAGTATTTGTTCAATTCCGAAAATTCACAAACTGACAGCGTCATACCAATTCAATTGTCACTATTGCTAATAGCGACCTACTAGGTAGATTAGTTTCATATTTTCGCATTTATGACGATGTATCTTTGTAGTTGTTCGTAAAATAATTTTTTGCTGCGAACTGGTTTATTTTGGGCATAAAAAACCCAGGAGACATTAGTAAACAAATAATAAGACAAAAAGTTGCATTGGAAATAAATTTTAGGGGTTGCGTTTGCCACCCCTTACAACCATGGGGTAAACCAACTAAATTTCTGGCTAAGTGTCTTTTTGTTAGTACAAAACGTCAGGTTAATTTCAATATTGTAACTTTTTTAGTGCCTGTGGAAAAAATTGTTATCAAATTTTATGTACCCCCTTTAAGGGGCTGAATCTTAACAAGGGATGCTCCAATGAAATTTCTTTATATGAAAGATCCTATCTTTTTTTCAATGCGGATTCACCTCCTTAAATGTTTCACACTCATTTAGTTACACCCTGTATATTTCTAACATAGTTGTCATTATATTTGAAACAGATCTTGTGTGAGTGAATATTATGAACTCATTTTATTGAATTGAAAAAACTTAGGAACCGTACAGTGGATCATTTGCAATGTGACCCTATGTATTATGTTGCAAACACAATAAAGTATTAACGATATTTTCAACAATTTCAAATCATTCATCACTAGAAACAGAAATAACAGTTGCACATTGCTTCAATGTTCGTAATGCCTAAATGTTCCATTTCACTTCACTAATTTATCACCAAATGTCATCAATAACAACGATATACTAGTTAAGAATAGCAGTCCAATCATATTAGAGGTTTCATCTCGGTATGAGAGATAATGAGCTGTAAACTCGTATATACTTTCATTTTGGTGTTCCAAAAGTGCAAACAATCCCGCATACAGCCATATTCTCAGTTCTCGAAGGCAAGTTTATATTTCTCCTCCAGAAAAATCACAGGTTCCTGAATACATTGAATTACAATATGACGAAGTGTAATATAGAATATTTCTTCCTGCAGAAAACCATTTGTGTTTCAGATGTAAACAAGCTGGGCACCAAGCATACCAGTGCACC